AGAAAGAAATAGAAAACAATGGAAAAAGAAACTGTATATTGAACATTGAGTTTTGTTGCTGCTGCCTTGCTGCTATGGCATGGTTATTAACAAGTTAGACATGGTGAAATAGTAGGGAAAGATTTTATGAGCCTTGCGTGATCATACAAGAATAATCTATAATATTTTTGGAACAATATTTAACCCTTCATTATCTATTATCAAGGTCTTTTCAATCAACACATCTTATTTACTGATTATGGCAATTTTACAGTGATAAAAACTGAATAAAATTGAAATAGATTTAAATTCAACTACAGGATATGTATGAATAACCAATCACAAAACGTTTATATGTGTGATAAGACCACTTAACACAGCTTATATCATTTTTGATGGCCCAAACGTTTTGCTAAAAAAGGAAAAATTACAAGTTTTTATAACAATGTTAGTTATAAAATCATACCTAGATATGAACTGTTAAATTTGTTTATAAAAAACGAACAGAAAAAAAAAGGTTTTGACACTTTGCCAACACACAACTGTTCAAAAACAACAACAACAAAAAAAACTAACAAAACATGAAATGTAAGAATTTTACCTCCAAGGACTTCATAACTTTGAAAGTTTACATTTTCCCTTCCTGTGCTTTTGGCAAATGCCTACGTCAGAATTTGGCTGATGGCCAGAATCAGCAGTTATGGTCATAAGTGCACGTTACAAACAGTGTAAACTCTGAATGTATTAAGACATAAACACTTTTAAGTGCTAAACTTAAGGAACTACCATGTTTCCTTGATTATTGTGTACTTTTTTCTTTGGAGGCACATATATAAAGTTAGGTTTAGAATGGTATGAATCCGATTTTAAAATTTCTCGAAAGCCTTTAGCACAATTATTTTCAATATAATTACAGGCATTTTATTATGTTTGTTATTATTGTTAACTTAAAAATAATGTTACTGCATTGAAAGCAGCATAATAGTTATGTTTTAACAACTACGTACACAGTTGTGATGGAAACATTGTGGTCACCCCTAGTTCAAAAGGGTCAAAATTAATCACTGCTAAAGGACTTCATATGGGTTGTGATGTTTGTTATACATTAACAGATTAGTGTAGGTTTAAAACAAAATATATCTATGAAATCATAAAGAGAAAAAAAGGAAAAGGAAATTTTGTCAAATCACATTCAGCTAACTTAAGATAATAACACAAATCAATTTAGAACTGATGTATTGTTGTAGTTAGAAACTGAAACTGTTTATATATGTTTTATACATTTGAGCCATAGATAAAAAGCAATTTAAGCTAAATTAAATTATTGAGTTTTTTACTCCATTAATGAATAATAAATGCATAATTTAGTCACTTTGTCTGGTACTGCCAGCTAATTAATCAGTTGTCTGGTACTGCCAGCTAATTAATCAGTTGTCTGGTACTGCCAGCTAATTAGCCAGTTGTCTGGTACTGCCAGCTAATTAGCCAGTTGTCTGGTACTGCCAGCTAATTAGATAGTTTGTTTGGTACTGCCAGCTAATTAGTTAGTTACCTCAGTGTTTCAAAAAAGAAATACAGATATGAAACTAGCAAGTGAAGTTTCTGTTTAGAGGTAGTTCATCTGTGAAGTTAAGCCTATCAAATAAGTTGGTTACACTACCCATGGAACTTGAATTTCAATAAATAAATTTTTTTAAATTATTAAGTGGACTGGATTTGGTTTGTTTCTTTTTACAAAATAATCCAAAAGAACCTAGTCAACAACAGAAACCATTACACGAATATTGATGAACCTAGTCAACAACAGAAACCATTACAAGAATATCGATGAACCTAGTCAACAACAAAAACCATTACAAGAATATTGATCTAGGTCTTGTTAACCTATAGCAATATTCCCATTTCAAATGACTCGTGCTATAAATGTAAACACATTGTGGACTTTTTCTAGCTTTCTAAACATATATCAATTAGGTTAATGGACATCATAAAGAGAAATATTTTCAAACTAGCTAGAACATATGGTAGTTTAAATCATACAATTCAGCAGAAATACCAAAAACTGGCCATTCTTTGGGGGTATCTTTTCTAAAATGGTTAGCCTTAAGAAGAATTTACATTCTAACACTAAAGAATTTTGTTGCTTGGACCCTAAAAATTGTTTTTAAACCCTGAGAAACCACAGAATGTGATTCTCCTCCTCCTGAACAATAATCTTGGTCCATTGTCACCATCTGGTATTAACACAGAGCAATAGATACTCGCACACTGCTTAGAACACTTGGGAAGCCTCTTATTGGAAGGACCTTATGATTTCAACAATGCCTACTCAAATACAACTTGGAACATTCCAGCAGCCTCTACTGGGAGGACTTTTGTAGTTTCTGCAATGCCTACTCACAAGTTGGAACACTTGGGCAGCCTATACCAGGGACTTTGAGGTTTCAGCAATGCCTATTTACATACAACTTGGAACATTTGAGCAGTCTCTACCAGGAGAACCTTAAGGTCACAATTTGAAACATATATATCGGAACACTTGCTCTACTGCTGACTTTATGATTTCCCAAGTGTTAAAATGAAGCTGTTAGGAATGATATGAGAAGTGTCATAATAAGGGTGAAAGAGAGAAAATTTCATTAACAAAAATTAAAACCTTTTTAAAATAAAAATACCATTTCAGTATTTTAGCTAAGCCATGCATGTATATCACCTACAAACCTTAAGAATGAAGGATAAACTGGAGAAAAAAATGTAGCATAAAAACAGACATTACCAAAGAAATATCACAGCACTAACTGGGTAAGTACATGTAGGTAAGTCAAGGTATCACTTTGAATGGCTACACCTTACTTTCACCTTACAATGTAGACCCAATATACTGAACAATGGTCTGGGTCTACAAACAACTCCATAACCTTCCCGTGATCAGTAGTAACCAAGTTGATGTAGAAAAAAGCATGCATCACTACTGTACATCTTACATGTACTTC